GTGAGATGATAGTGGAGCAACATCTTCAAAGTGCTTAAGAAGGGGTGCCTGGGTGGCTCAGTGGGTTGGGCCTCTGCTTTCGGCTTGGGTCATGGTCCCAGGGTCCCGGGATCGAGCCCCGCCTCGGGTTCTCTGCTCAGCGGGGAGCCTGCTTCCTTTCCTTTCTCTCTGCCTGCCTCTCGGACTACTTGTGATCTCTCTCTGTCAAATAAATAAATAAAAATCTTTATTTAAAAAAAAAGTGCTTAAGAGAAGTGTCAATCTACAATGCTATATCTGGAAAAGGTATTTGTTTGGGGCTGAAGTGTGCCCCCAATTTGTATATTGAAATCCTAACCCCCTACTAGCTCAGAATGTCACTGTATTTGGAGGTAGGGTTTTTAAGAGGTAAATAAGATAAAATAAGGTCATATGTGTGGGCCCTAATCCAAAGTGACTGGTGTCCTTATAATAAAAGATAAAGATGCAAGGACCTATTTAGCCAGAGTGACCCCATCTCGGTTAAAAGCCATTTTGTTGTTTGTGCAGTAAACTTAAATTGACTCTCCACCCCCAGAGAAACTTACTTAGAAGCAAGTCTGGGAAACCAGTAAAATGTAATTGGCTAGTTCCTGATAACAGAGCCCAGAATACAAGGACGAGTCAGGCCAGATAGAGACATCTAATCAGTACGAAATACTGTTTGTAACAGTGAGAAGGTCTTACCCAAACCTAAATGACTCCATCTTGGGAAGGACGACCATCTTATTATTCACACTGAATATGTTAACTGACTAAGCCTTCCCAAAAAGTACTGTTTGTAATGGTTCCTGGTATGGGGTAATCTTAAATAACAAGTCACCAGACCAGATGGAACTAGCCAATCAGCAAGAGACACACAAACCCAGTGGGTTGAGATACCAAGATATGGGTTGCAGTTTCACCCAATAAAAGGTAGCCTGTAAGATTGGGAGGGGTCGCTCTCTTCGGAGACGGTCCTGGCCGGTCAGTCTGACTTCTAATGCTTAGCATAGAATAGAGCTTTGCATAACTTTAACTCTGTTTCAGTCTCGTTCCCCTGGCCAATCAGTCTGACTTCTAATACGTGGCATAAAATAAAGCTTTCAATAACTTTCACTTTTTCTCAGTCTCGTTTCGTTTAATAACGGACCTAACAAAAGACACAAATGCAGTGTGAGAGATAACCACGAGGACATAGTGAGAAGGCAGCCAACCACAAGCCAAAGAAGGAGGCTTCAGAAGAAACCTCACCTGTCAATACCTTGATTTCAAACTTCCAGCCTCCAGAACTCAGGGGAAATAAATTTCTGTTGTTTAAGAAATCTAGTCTGGGTATTTTGTTATGGCAGCCCTAGAAAACTAATATGATATATTTTAAAAATGAAGACAAAATACCTTTAAAAAAATTTTTTTAGAAAATCTGAAAGTATTTGTTGCTAGGAGACCCACACAGTAAGAAATGTTAAATAGGCAGGGAAAAAAAATGATAGATCAAAATACAGACACTGGAAAGATTAACTAAATGAGTAGATAGGTAAAAGCTTTAAAAATTATTTAAATATCTTTAGAATATTATATGGTAGGGGAGAAATGGCAGTATGTTATTGTAAAGTTCTTAAACCATAGTGAAGTGATAGAATATGACTTTACTGGTTCTGGACCCAATTTCAATGTGTATGTGTGGAGTTTTCCCCATATCACCAAGGACTTCTCCAACACCAGCTGGATGTCCTATAATTCAACTCAATTTTGACACTATCTACATGGAGAAAATGTCAGATCCCAGACGTAAAAGATTCAGTCCTATAAGACTGCCCCCAAACACACACACACACATACACACATGTGCACACTTCAGATGCCATTCACAAGCCCAGGTTATCACCTGCACTTCTGTTGAACTGGCCATATTGGAGATTCCAATTACTCCCTCCTTCAGTTCAATTAATTTGGTAGAGTGGCTCACAGAATTCAGAGAAATATTTACATACCAGATTATCAGTTGATTATAAAAGGATATAACTTAGGAACAGCCTGATGGAAGAGATGAAATAGGCAAGGTATGGGGAAGAGGTGAAGAGTTTCCATGCCCTTTCCAGGCACACCACTCTCCCTGAATCTCTACATGGTCACCAACCTGGAAACTCTCCAAACCTTTTTTTTTTTTTTTAAATTGGAGGTTTCATAACGTAGGCATGATTGATTGACTCATTGGCCATTGGTGACTTAATTCAAATGCCAGCCTTTCTCTTCTCTGTAGAGGTAGGGAGGTAAAACTGAAAGTTCCAACCATCTAATCACATGGGTGACTCCAACGGCAACCAGCCCTTATTCTTAGATGATTTCGGGGCTTTCCAAAAGTCAACCCTATTAACATAACAAAAGACACCTTTATCACTCTCATTACTTAGGAAATTCTAAGGGTTTTAGGAGCTCTGTGCCAGAAATGAAGATGAGGCCAACTATCTATATTTTTTATTGAACAATCACAACATCAAAGACTTGAAGGTAAGCTGGGATAAGTTCAATATATATAATATACACACTATACTAAAATAACACAAAACAGTTATAGTTATTTATAAAATAAATGAAAATGGTGTCATAAAAATAATCCAAAATAAAGGCACACAGAGGGAAAAAAATAAACAGTATAGAAGGAACAAACACAAAACACTTAGTAAGATGAGAGACTTAAATGTCATCATATCACTAATCACATTAAATGATTAAACACTCCAATTCAAAGCTAGTGATTGTCAGCTTTGATTTAAAAAAAGAGAAAGAGGAAGACCTAACCAAATCTTGCCTGTAAGAAATGCACTTTAAATGTAAGCACACAGGGCACCTGGGTGGCTCAGGGGATTAAAGCCTCTGCCTTCAGCTCAGGTCATGGTCCCAGGGTCCTGGGATGGAGCCCCACATCGGGTCTCTGCTCAGCGGGGAGCCTGCTCCCTCCTCTCTCTCTGCCTGCCTCTCTGCCTACTTGTGATCTCTGTCTGTCCAATAAATAAATAAAACCTTAAAAAAATAAATAAAAAATAAACGTAAGCACACAAATGAATAAAAAGTAAGAGAAATATCATGTTAACACCACGCAAAAGAAATCTGTATTGACTTAACTTTTGTATTACTATCAGATAAAGTAAATTTCACAGCAAAGTATTACCAGGGACAAAGGACTTGATTTTATAATGATAAAGGGTTAATCCATCAGGAGGACATAACAACCGAAACAAATGCTTATATACAGAATGACAGAGCTATAAAATACATTAAGCAAAAGCTGATAGAATTGTAAGTAGACAAATTCATAACCTTAGTCAAAGATATCAATCCCTATCTCAATGATTATTACAACATGTAGACAGAAAATGAATAAAAATGTAGGAGACTTGAATAAAAATCAACCAGCTTGACCTAATTGACATTTTTAGAACACTCTACCCAAGAACAGAAGAATATCTATTTTTCAAGTGTATATGGTATATTTATGAGTAGAGACAATATTCTGGGCCAAAGGGCAAGTTTCATTATTTAAAAGGATTAAAGCAAAAGCAAGCTTATTCTTGGACCACAATAGAATTAAATTGGTAATCAATAAAAATGTGACCTCTGGAAAAATCCCAAATGTTAGGAAACTAACTGGTGCATTAAAAATAATGTATCAAAAAAGAAATCAAAAGAGAAATTGGGTATTATTTTAAACTGAATGAAAATAAAAACACAACATACGAAAAATTCATAAGATGCTGGTAAGGCAATACCTAGGGGGATATTCATAGTCCCAAATGTCTGTATTAGAAAAGAATAAAAGTCTCAAATCAATGACTTCAGCTTCCCCTTTAAGAAATAATTTTTTAGAGATACGTTCGTTAGATTACTCCTTTCTGCCCGTGGACGCCGCCGAGTAAGCATCGTTAAAGTCTCCCCTCCCACCGCCGTCATGTCTAAGTCAGAGTCTCCCAAAGAGCCTGAACAGCTGCGGAAGCTCTTCATCGGAGGTCTGAGCTTTGAAACAACCGATGAGAGTCTGAGGAGCCATTTTGAGCAATGGGGAACACTTACGGACTGTGTGGTAATGAGAGACCCAAACACCAAGCGCTCCAGAGGCTTTGGGTTTGTCACATATGCCACTGTGGAGGAGGTGGATGCAGCCATGAATGCAAGGCCACACAAGGTGGATGGAAGAGTTGTGGAACCAAAGAGGGCTGTCTCAAGAGAAGATTCTCAAAGACCTGGTGCCCACTTAACTGTGAAAAAGATTTTTGTTGGTGGCATTAAAGAAGACACTGAAGAACATCATCTAAGAGATTATTTCGAACAGTATGGGAAAATCGAAGTGATTGAGATCATGACTGACCGAGGCAGTGGCAAAAAGAGGGGTTTTGCTTTTGTAACATTTGATGACCATGATTCTGTAGACAAGATTGTCATTCAAAAATACCATACTGTGAATGGCCACAACTGTGAAGTAAGGAAAGCGCTCTCTAAGCAAGAGATGGCTAGTGCTTCATCCAGCCAAAGAGGTCGAAGTGGTTCTGGAAACTTTGGTGGTGGTCGTGGAGGTGGTTTTGGTGGGAATGACAACTTTGGTCGCGGAGGAAACTTCAGTGGTCGAGGTGGCTTTGGTGGTAGTCGAGGTGGTGGTGGATATGGTGGCAGTGGGGATGGCTATAACGGATTTGGTAATGATGGAAGCAACTTTGGAGGTGGCGGAAGCTATAATGATTTTGGCAATTACAACAATCAATCCTCAAATTTTGGACCCATGAAGGGAGGCAATTTTGGAGGCAGAAGCTCTGGCCCTTATGGTGGTGGAGGCCAATACTTCGCCAAACCACGAAACCAAGGTGGCTATGGTGGTTCCAGCAGCAGCAGCAGCTACGGCAGTGGCAGAAGGTTTTAATTACTGCCAGGAAACAAAGCTTAGCAGGAGAGGAGAGCCAGAGAAGTGACAGGGAAGCTACAGGTTACAACAGATTTGTGAACTCAGCCAAGCACAGTGGTGGCAGGGCCTAGCTGCTACAAAGAAGACATGTTTTAGACAATACTCATGTGTATGGGCAAAAAAACTCGAGGACTGTATTTGTGACTAATTGTATAACAGGTTATTTTAGTTTCTGTTCTGTGGAAAGTGTAAAGCATTCCAACAAAGGGTTTTAATGTAGATTTTTTTTTTTGCACCCATGCTGTTGATTGCTAAATGTAATAGTCTGATCATGACGCTGAATAAATGTGTCTTTTTAAAAAAAAAAAAAAAAGAAAAAAAAAGAAATAATTTTTTAATTTTTATTATTTTTTAAAGGTTTTACTTCTTTCTTAGAGAAAGTGTGTGTGTGTGTGTGTGTGTGTGTGTGCATGCGCACGCGCGTGCAGAAAGGGAGAGAGTCCCAAGCAGACTCCATGCTGAGCATGGAACCCTACATAGAATTTGATCTCATGACCCTGAGATCACGACCTGAGCCAAAATCAAGAGTTCATTGCTTAACCAACTGAGCCATCCAGGTGCCCCAAGAAACTTTTTTTTTAAGAGATCAAATTGAACTCAAAGTTAGCAGAAGAAAGAATATAAAAAGGGCAGAGTAGAGGTCAATGAAATAGAAAACAGAAAAATAATAGAGAAAATCAATGAAATGAAAAGGTGGTCTTTCGGATGGTCAATAAAATTGATAACTTTCTAGCTAGATTGTTAGGTAAAAAAAGAAAGAAGACACAAATTGCCAATATCAGGAATGAGCAAAGTAACACCATTCTAAAGTCTACAGCTATTACAAGGATAATAAAGAAATACTCTAAACAACCTTATGGTAATAAGTTCAACAACTGAGATGAAATGAACAAACTCTTTGAAAGATACAAACTATCAAGAAGACACAAAATTTGAGAATAAATAGATAATCTGAATAGTCCTGTATCTATTAAAGAAATAAACTTGTAGTTAAAATAAACTCGTAGTTTAAATTCCCATAAAGAAAACTTTGGGCCCAAATGGCTTGGCTGATGAATCATACCAAACATTTAAAGAAGTCATACCAACTCTACACAAACTCTTTCAGAAATGTAAAGAAGAAAGAATATTTTCAAATATATCCATTTTGACTTAATAATATATTATGTATAATTTTAATCAATACTCTTTCATTAACACATAACAAGCACCTGGGGATAACAGTGCTAAAGAAATAACAAAATTGACTTTGGGGGCACTTGGGTGGCTCAGTCTGTCAAGCGTCTGACTATAACTCTGGTCATGCTCTCAGGGTCCTGGGATCGAGACCCACATCAGCCTCCCTGCTCAGCAGGGAGTTTGCTTCTCCTTCTCCCTCTGCCCCTCACCCTGCTTGTTCTCTCTCTTTCAAATAAATAAAATCTTAAACAAAACAAAACAAAGTTGACTTTGATGAAGGAGAAAGAAGTGAGAGGAGATCCCAGGCAAAGGCCCCTGCTATAAAGAAGGAGAGAATAGGATGCTTGTAAGGGAGAGTCACTCTCTCCAGACACTCTCAACAACCCAGAGACAAGAAACATTATCTTCAATGTTTCATTGAGATTGTACTAATATATCCAGAGCACTGCTAGAAGAAAGGTTATAGCTAATAACAATGTTTCATTCTACATCAGCATCTACTATCATTTACTGAGGATCACCCATATGCTGGTTTCTATGCTGGGAATCTCTGTGAGTAATATTTCTTCCTATTCTTACAACCACCCTCTCAAGTACAGTACACCCCTGCCCAGGTTTTGAGTTTTTTCACTAGCCAGGAGAGGCACAAGATGAGATAAGGAAAGGAAAAAGAGAGAGAGAGAGAGAGAGAGAGAGAAGAATCAGGCTAGATTTACCCAATGACTGAACCCATCTGGCAAGCTTCTCCTTTTTTTCTTCCACAAATGATGTCTCTAATCACCTTCCATGAAAGAGAAACAGGCAGCAGGGAGGGATTGGGGGGTCAGGGACAGAATCTACCTTACTCAGTCTCCAACTGGACCATTGTTCTCAGGGCATTTCCTCATCACTGAGCTCTGTAATGAAGTTGTTTCCTCAGCCTAAGAGATGAGCTCTAGTGATCACTCTTTTTCTGTTTTCCCACTTTCCTTTCATTGCATTTCTGGTAAAAAGTTATGTCAAACTTTACTGCCAAAGCCACATGGGGTTGGAGAGAAGCAATGGGGGAAAAAAATCAATTGTCTTCTTCCTGATCCAGCTTCAGTTCTTTGAACAAAAGAACAAAGCCTTTGTCTAGAGCTTAAAAAGATACGCCATCTTCTAACTTTTCCTTCTCTTTCCATCTCATAGTCCTCTTTCCTTTGTCCCTCAAACACCTCTATCCGACTCTCCCTTCAGAATACTCAATCCCTAGTACCCTTGTTGGGCACTAGAATTCCATAATTACAGGCACTTGGTGACTGCCAATGGCTTTATCTGATTTAGCAGAACTTTTAAGTGAACTCTGGTCTTACCGTCTTCTGGCTCTGCTAGGAAGCAAGGGAGTGGGAGAGGAAATTTTGTGGGCAGTGGAATTTGGGAAGGATAGAAGAATGGGGGGTGGGGGCAGAGTGATTTTTTCCAATCCATGTTGCAGCAATTTTTTCCCCCAAAGGCATCTGAAATGAAACATATTTTACCACCATAAGGAGTCATTTCTATCTTCAGACTTTCCTGTCCCCAGTATGGGAAATTAGAGAAATTCAAATTTTTTTGGGCCTATTTCTTAGAAAACAGTAACACAAGCTATGGATAGAGACTGCCCCTTTCCACTCTGGTTACAGTCCACAACTATCTCTCACTGTCTGACAGTTAGGGCTCCATAACTTCATTCTGAACCCATTTCTCTTTTGAGCACTGGAATGAGGAAGAAAGAGGAGTTTTGGTTCACTTCACTAATATCACCTCTCAATACCATCCCTGGATAAATTAAAGGCTCCAATCAACAAGCAATTAATCACAAGATAACCTACCGTGAATGCCGTCATATAGAGTGGAGAAGAAAGAAGATAACTGGTTATTAGCCACCTGCGTTACTGCTCCTACTGTTTCTTCAGAAACATCTCGAACAGCTCGGCCCTACAGGTCAGAGGCAGTGGAATACATGTGAGTGGAGGAGCAGGGTACATGGAAATAAATGAAGATTACCTAAATGAGAACAAACAGAGGATATTTATTCAGAGTTTGCTATAACAAGGGAGTCAGCTACCAACATTTGCCATTTCTAGAGATTCAAAGGCAAGTAGGAAGCTTAACAGTTAAAAAAAAATGGGGATATCTTTAGGTATGCTCTGATTGGAGTTTGTTAGGATAGGGAAGGTGAAGGCCAGATAATTACAAGTAGATATAATTGATTTGGAAAGTATATTTGGCATTTTAAGCGTGGTCCTGAGTTGAAAATAGGGGCAAAAAAATCAGGAAGCTGGAGAGATCTGTTGGGAAGATGGAAAAATAGGAGGATCCTAAGCTTGCTTTGTCCCATGATACTAGATAATATTCACATCAGCATAAATAACCCAGAAAATGACCGAGAGACTGGCAGAACAAACCTCACAATTAAAGGTAGAGAAGAGGTCATATTGAAGAAGATAGGAGGAGAGAAGACATGATCTGGCATCCATAGTGGGTAGGGAACTGGTGGTACGGAGAAGTGTGAAAACCAGACTTGCACACCAAGGAGGCCACTAATGAACAGGGAACAGGGAGGATGAATCCCCATAACATTTGCCTTTGAAAGCAAGAGGGACCGAATGTCATAAGTTCTTACAGCCAGTGGGACTTAAGGCCTGGAATTTTAAAAATCAGTGCTCAGCTCTGGGAGAGCCTGGAGGGCATTAGGAAGTAGAATCCCTGCCCTTAAAGAGAGAGCATGACAAACAGCCCTTGTAGATACAGTATAGAACCAACACTTTGAAATATGCCAGATGTAGACAGGGAGGGAGAGTGATTTGCCCATCTCAGAGCATGGCCTGGGAGACAAGGATCATGGGGAGGGCACTCCAGGAACAAAGGAGCTAGCAGTCTCCATTCCCCCCCTCCCCAACATAAACAATAGCCACCTGTGGGTAGCGGTACTATCCCCAACACTGGCTATGTAACTTGCTTACATCTAGCCCTGACCCCTACAGTTTGGTGGATCCACCCTTCCCAGTCAAGATGGCCTTAGTCCCAGTTCTGTGGGCTCCATCCCCCAGAAGACTGGTACAAACCCTGTCAATACCACAGCTTCTCACCTGTATGTTTTGTGGTACCTCAATTGTGGCAGCACCAGGGGCAGGTCTCATTTCACAAGCAGACCACCACACACCTTGTTAAAACACACCCCACCACTGCTGAGGACCAAATACTGCCCAAAACAGGCATAGAAGGCTCTGCAGAAACTGGACTAAAGGAAAAAGAGGCCAAGACTCAACAGCAGAGCTCACACAACATTCCCTGATGAAGCAGGCTCTGGGGAACAGGGACACTACTCTAAGGCACTACATGAACCTCTTCTTCATATATTATTGTTAAGAGCAAGAGAAGTAGCTGACTTTCCTAACACATACAGACACAGAAATCAGAAAAAATGAGGAGCAGAGAAATATCTCCCAAATGAAAAAACAGGACCAAACCACAGCAGGAGACCAAAACCAACCGGGTATAAGTAATGTGCCTGATAAAAAATCTAAAATAATGATCATAAAGATACTCACTGGACTTGAGAAAAGAGGAGAGGATATCAGTAAGACCCTTAACACAGAGATTAAAAAAAGAAGAAAAACCATTCACAGATCAAGAACACAATAAATGAAATTAAAAATACACTAGATGGAATAAATAGGCTAGATGAAACAGAGGGACAGATTAATGACCCAGAAGGCAGAGTAATGGAAAGTAACCAAGCTGAGCAAAGGAGGGAGAAGAAAATTATGCAAACTGAGAATAGTCTTAGGGAACTCAGTGATTCCATCAAGCATAACACATTCATATTACAGGGGTCTCAGAAGAAGAAGAGAGAGAAGGGGGGGAGCAGAAAATTTACTTGAAGAAATAACAGCTGAGAACTTCCCTAATCTGGGGAAGGAAACAGATATCCAGATCCAGAGGGCACAGATATCCCCCCAAAAATTCAACACAAAGAGGTCCACACCAAAACACATAGTAATCAAATGGCAAGAAGTAGTCATAAAGAAAAAAATGTAAAGGCATCAAGAGAAAAGATAGTTACATACAAGCGAATTCCATAAGGCTATCAGTAGATTTTTCAGCAGAAACTC